GAAATATTTTACTATGTGATTCTCTGATCATATCATGGGTTGGTAATAGGTCTGAGAATATTACAAATTGATAAACTGTTAATGAGGTGTTAAGATGTAAATTATAGAGTCAGGATTTTATTATATTGGTGATATATTCATCATACTTTTCTCACCATATATATAGCACTGTATATTCCACTTGAGCTAGTGATTTTCTCTATTTTGACAGTGAAAACCTAAACTGTCTTAATGCAATAGACGTATTTGTAAACATTTACTCTAAACAAATAATTCTTTACTGACATAATCAAATGTTCATAGCTTTACAAACTGTATCAGATGACAGAATATTGGTATCCTCACCCAGAGTTCATTGACAAAATAGAAAATCAGTATTATATAGCTAATATTAATATTAACAAAAAATTCCAACAACTGAAAGATACACAGTCTGTTGTTTTGTTTGTAGGAAGTATTGAAGATTTCACCATGAAGAAACTGTTAAAGTAATTAAAACAGAATAATATTGATAAGACAGTGGTATATATTATAATAATATTGATTTATAGTGGTTTATCTTGTCATTTATACTGGTACCTAAACACAAGATACCATCTCAGTATACCCAGCATGGTTACTGAATTTCTTCTATCTTATTTTCTTCTCAATTTCTGCTTTACAGAACTTCCAGTGTGGCTTCTCACTTTCTGTTCATCATTTTTTCATTTTTTTCTCAGAAATTCCAGTGACATTATGGCTTAATCGTTCTGCAATTTGTCATTTGCCTGTATATGCAAATTACAAATCTTGGTAGTCCCAGAAGGACAGTTCCTTACTCTCTTGTCATTTATTACTTTCATTGTTTCAAATATCATTGTCTTTGTACTTGCATATCTTTTACAATGGTGTAGTGCAATGAGGTTAAAATGAGGCAAAAAAGGTGGCCTGTTTGGATATACAAGATATTCTAAAGTTTGGACAGTCAGGCATAATTTTACTCTACAAAATAATGATTCTGAAGTAGAACGTTCCTAGTGTATGCTATGTATAAATAGAAGGTGAATGACCTATAATAGAAGAATATATTAGTCTAGTAATGTATATAAACAGTTGATAGTATATATCTACACTTCCTGTATCTTTATAGCTCATCTCAAGTACCTTCTCTTATACTTAAATTACTCTACAGCTTTCTAATGAGAACTCAGGACTCTTCTTTTCAGTTTCTATTGAAATTACTTAAATAGTAAATAGTGTAGAAATTATCATTTAGTGAATGATGGATGAAAAGTTATAGATCTGTCTAAAAAGGACCTTTTTTGATTACTTTCAAACCTTTTATAAACAGTTTTTTACAATCTATGATCATCAAATTATCATTTAATTCACTGTTACACTCTTACACAACTCTTTTATTAGACTTTAAAGGTTTCACTTTTGAATAACTTACATCTATGGCCCTTCGGAGCTTGTCTATTAACTAACACTTGACCTTGGACCCAAATTGTAAACCAAACTCTTTCAATAAGCTTTAAACTCTTAAAATTTCAATTTTGACTTCATTATGAAGATTGATACATAGACATATAAGATATAAAGGTATTCTTCTGACTGACATTCTTATCTGGGCCCAAATCTGATAATGGCCTTGTCCAGTTTAAGATTACTATATCAAAGGGATTTTAAGTGGTGAAAATTGGCCACTAATCCCAAGTTAAGACTTCATCATTTAAAGCTAATGTGTCAAGAGGATGAAATTAATAAAAATTGCAAATAAATCCCATTATTAATGTCTATCACTTGTAAAGAATCTTTATCAAGGGTGTATCAATTGAGCTAATTTGTAAGATTTACAAGTTGATGAATAAACTCTTGTAAAAGCTGTTATCCTGGTTTCCAACAGTTTAAAAGGCCATAAGTTACATTTGAGAAGTAGATATACCCATAAAAGGTTAAAAATGGCCTATTTTAACAGTTGATAATGTATACAAACATTAACGATTACCTTTACAAGGTAGTGACTCATACCTTTAGTTATATTGTATTAGTAGACTTTTATTGATCTTAACCCTTTAAAGACCAACTGTAAATACTGAGATTACTGTTATACATTGAACTAGATTAACATGGGACTGCAGGGGTTAACACTTTGAGTTGAAGTTTGGTATATTTATATTGAATACTGAATCATTTAGAGAGAGACCTTCAATGCCCTTTGACTTTGTCAATAATACTGAAATTTGAACTTGTTACCATTATAAATCAGAGGTAGAACTCTTTCTGATGGTGAAGTGAATATGTGTGTTAAAGAGCATATCAGAGATTTAGATCAATATCATTTAAGGATTTTTCACTAAACAGTAATTTGAATCAATCACTCATGGAAATATACTAAAGACCATCTAAAACTAGTTACATTACTATGTTACATTATATAAATTTAAAAATGCACTTGAGACACACAAAAAACTAGGGTTAAAGGTCATGATAAAGGTGTGTAGGTGGAAAGAGAAGACCAAGTGAATGACATCACTACCATATTGTGTTAAATCTGATTGATATATTAAACTACAGGATCTAGTTATATGAGATATATATATAATGACTATAATACTGTAAGAGGGGAGTGGATTAATGAAATAATAAATTACATATATTTTTAATCTCATTTATAAAAGATGTGTCATAATTATTGTTGTAGACTTAAAATATACTGGCTTCATTGAAGGATGTAGTGACGTTTCAGAAAGCTAATTTTTTTTAGATTTTTTCTGAATTTTTAAAAATAACTAAACTTGTGAAGAAGCTAGAAGATTTTATTTCATATCTCAAGAACAATTTACTGAGTTTCTCCTTTCATTTGAATCTTTGAAAAAAAATTTCAACACCAATTTGTGTTGTTAAAACATCAATGCCAAATTTAAAATATTGGAATAATCAAAATAATCAAAATATTTGCAACAGTTATTAGTGTTTATATTTATCCTGTGTCTAGGCGTTATGATAATAATCAATTAAAATATACCAATATATGTGAATCATAACAAACAAGTTAAAACCTGAAAACAGCTGACTCCTTCCTCAATTTGTAAACAAAAGAATTTATTAATAAGTTTTTGACTCAATGAATGAGTGGTTCAGCTGTTCAAGAAATTTAATAGTGTTTAGTATTTTCAGGAATCAATGAAAATTTATCATTGCTAACTATAGACTTTGATTCAGTCGATGAGTAAATTGGTGATGTGTATATTGACAACATGTAAAAGTTACAGATTTTAATATTAAGACTGTTTGATTGGATCAGTGATAAAATGGACATTGACAAATTGTTGAGTTGAAAAAGTTTGTTAAATAGTTAGAAGACTGTTTATATTGAGTGATATAATATTCTATTTCTATGTAATATTAAGCAGTGTATCAGTCTGAATCCAGTATAAATTGATCAACAAGTTTCAATATTAACTGTTTGATTACACAGATAAAGAAGACCAGTGTGTGAAATTAAACCAGTCAACTTTATACACCATACTTGAGAATAGACTTAAACCTGAATTACTTTGAACTGAGCAGCTTCGTTTGTTTTTTGATTCAAAGACTTATTTCTCTACATTTAAAACTTTTATTCAAGTACTGAAACTTAACTTTGTGATATTATTTGAATGGCTAATAGTCTGCGTAAATAAAAATTTTCATCAAGAATCTAGTATCTTGAATGATCAATGATAGCTATTGGACTCTACATGTGAAGTGCGTTTTGGATAGATACATACCAATTTTTTCATTTTGATCTAAAACCAAAAACTATTCCATCTTCCAAGTTTCAAAGTAAAAACCTAATACGTTGGTTGGTAGATAACCTCCTCGTCTGGCTAAAGATTAACTTACCACACTGTAAATGACCAGTTATCATCCACCTCTTAAGCACTACATTTAATGGAAGACTATTTGGATCCAATATACAGACTGCTCACTCCCCTGCACCTGTTAGTACTGTAATAGTTACCTAGTGTACATGTATAGATAACCAATCATTTAGGATTATCAATATTGGGATTAAGATTTAAGCTTGATTTGGATAATCTCTTTGAAACCATTGTAAGAAGAAAAAAAAAAAAGAATTTCTAAAGGTGGTCCAATATCAAATGATATTGCCTGGGTTGGATTAAGATTAGGATTAAACCATTAGATAATCTATATGAAATCAGTGTTCCAGTTTAAAGTACATATTAATCAGCCTTAGGGTATATCTAGATTACCCATTGAAAATATTTCATAATTTTGTGTGGGTCTAAAGGGCTGGACAGATTACCTTAGTTGCATTTGACAGGCAGTGATCGGTATTGACTTAGTACTGGATGAACCAAGACTACATATTTTAGTATCCAGGATATAAGAGGACAGATTTATGGTGACACATAAAGTTATTGTAACTTATAAGAGAAACATACAGGATAAGAATACATGTTTTTAACTTCAAGGAAAGAAATATAACTCATAAGGACATAAAGAAAAATCACGGAAGACAGGAGAAACAAGATTGATAATAAATCATATAGTGATCACGCAGAGTCAAGATAGATTTGTCTAAATTTAAGAGAAGAAGAATATCTCATAATCTTACTAGGACATAAAGAAAAGAAACATATGGAAGACAGTAGGAGAAAAATAGATTGAAGATTGCTTTTCGGACATAAAGGGAGATATATCATATATTGAAGACATATAAAGAGAAAAGATAATTATAGAAGAAAAATTGACCATAGTACTTCTATATTAGGATATAAGACAACAAATTCTCATTAAAGGACACATAAATATTGAAAACACGTAAAAAAGTAGACATTTATAGGATACATTAGAATTGTAACAAGTATAAAAAAGATTGCCTAAGGATTTACTTGAAAGGAGTGGAAAGAAAAAGACTTGGTGACCTTTATTAAGTGTATTGAGTCAAAAGATTTCCAAGTTAAAAAGACTGTATTAAAGGAGTTGCCTAGTAATATTTTTTATCGGTAAAAATGGTGTCTGTATTGCGTGCAACCTTTAATCATCAACCACGAGTGAACATGCATATCATTGATATGAATAGTAAGTGTCACTTTATTAAGAACCTAAACTTTTTTTTCATCCTATCAGGTTGGGTTAAATATGTATTATGTGAATTAACTTAATGGTTAAGGCTTTCAGATTCACATGACAATATGACTGACAGCTAGTGTATGGTTCCAAGTAAGTTTGTTAAAGCATATTAATTCAAATTTTCGTGGTTTATTAGTATCTTACTATAACTTATATTATGATATTGGCAATGAAAGTATTTCTAAAGGAAATATTATCTTTCACTTGCATCTACTTTAGTAAAGGGTTTCTTAGATTTCTTGCTTTAAAGTGATTTGAACTGACCTTGCCAAAGACATTGCCAGTCCATGATTTAAATTAATAAGGGCATATCTTAAGTTTCAGTTCTGAGGGCGTTTGTGGATAGTTAAGGGCCAGTTATTTTAAACAGTTACATTTGAATAGTTGTTGAAATTGTTAATTATATATTTGACCGAAATCTATGTCAAGTTTCATAGTAGCTTAAACATTCAATACAATACATTGCAATATGATTGTTATATATTCTATTGTATGGTATATTGATTGAAGAAAGACAGAAGGGGGTTATGAGTTGTATATGAGGTTTTAATTTCTACCATATGGTCTATATTAATATCTACAAATTTAACATAAACAAAGGTACATTTTACAACCATTCTGCTGATTGCAGGCAGATATGATATGGAACCACCATTCCTGTTTTTCTATTCCATTAGTAGCATGTCTGGGTCAAAGATTCAGGTCATTTTTGATGCCATGTTTTTTTGATTGACATGGAGTATTTTCAAAGAAGAATGTTGTCAATTTCATTAGCTGAATGACTGTAAATGGTTTTAAGTCTGTAGTTGGAAAAGACGTTCTTTGTTCTATCTTGTGGTGTACAGGTCAGATTGCAGTGACAGTGACCCTGACTTTTTGAAGAAGTCTACTACTATACAACTTTTACTCTCATTTTGCCATGCATTGGAAGATATTTTGATATACGGAATTAACATGCTTGTACAGATTTTTATTCACATGTTTTGTTCTTACTGGACGAGGTTTGAGACTGTAATAGATTGAGATAGTATCTTCAAAGTTGTTTGCATTTCCCCCTTTCCAGTGATACACATGGCTGTCGCATTGGCAGAAATATCTTATCCAAAGTTTTTTGCTTGTTTTTATTCCGGTGTCAGTGATACACATGACTTCATTCATCTAGGCAAAGATATCTTGATTAGACAGGATGAAAAGTTGTGGAAAGTCTTGCAAGTGGTACTAAAAGAAACCCAGCTTGAAGATTATGAAAGGAAAAACAGTAGATTGTCAACTTAAAAAACATGGAGAGTACTCTTTCTATCCTCAAACAGCCAAGCTTTGAAAACTCAACTCAAAGTAACTGAGGTTCCGTGCAAGATTTATGAAGAATAATGTGTTGTGAATTGTTTATTCTATCTATGTAATATGAGAAGTGATTTATATTGAGAGGAAATATGTTAACAGTCCATTTCCTATTTTTACACTCTCTCTCTCTCTCTCTCCCTCTCTTATGATATCTTGTGATACACTTAGTATTGTTCTGGATCTGTGTTCTGCAGTCAGTAGTTATAGAGAAGAGACTCCGTGTAAATGCATTATTCATAGGTAATAGTATCCAGATTTCCTGGGTTTTTCTGAATAGTAATTTTTGTTTTTTAGTACTCTTATAATTTATTAGGTGAAGTCTTCAGTAGTTATGTGCTTATTAGTGAAATTAGGGATATTACGTCTAACATATTGTAGATTATTGTTGAAATTAAAGAGTATTTCATGAGGAATTCATTGGTTATTGCCCTTGAATCTTATTATATATTAGTACATTTGTAATCATAATCTTGAAGTCTGTAGTATTTATTGTGCTTATTCGCAAAATTTGGAATATTACATTTTACATGTTAATGTGGATTGGTTGAATTTGAAGAGTATATTATAGGGAATTCTATAGTTATTGCCCTTGAACTTTTGTACAGTTGCACTTGAATCTTGTTATAGTTGCACTAAGTGCAGATTGGTTGGAAGGAAGACACTAGGTGTAAATGTATTATTTGTTTGAAGCTAATAGTATCCAGATTTCCCGTGTATATCTGTTGATATACTAATGATGTGTATATCAGTGCATTAGTGATATTTCTAGTGCTTCTGAATCTTATCCAGATATATCTCTTGATAATGATATTTTTTATGAGTGCTGTAGTTATAGATCTAACTGTTTTGAAGTTCTAATCTTGTGGTTGCAGCTCGTAAAGAAGGGTATGTTCATAGGAACAGGAACACCTGATACCAACATGGCATCCCTTTACAAGAGTCTGCAAAGTATATAAGGATATTCAAAATCTATTATAAAAGGAGATTTGATAGTGTGATATTCTATAAGAAATCAAATAAAAGACATCAGACACCTTCACTATGTTTTGAGTATTTATTATGTGAAAACTTAATACATATGTCACTGCATATTTGATAGCATATGTTCTTCGTCTAGTGTTTATAAAGTCATATTTAACCAAGCATGGGAAATCTAAATCAGATAACACTGTGTAAGGAGTGTCGTAATTATGTCATTGGTAGGATGTTAAAATCAACATCTCTACTCCCAGTGTTAGTGTCAGGCAATAAAATCGTGTGAAATTTCAAGATTGTGTAAGATGGAAGTCTACTAAGTGGTTTGTTTATAAAATTACAAGACCCCCAACGTGATATTGATATGATGTATCTGGATTTTTGAATTTTGTTAGTTTAGTTTATGTTGTAAAGTGTCGTAATATTTTTATTGGGATGGTAATCTAGTTTGTTTATAAAAAGTACGTATTCTGCCACGTGATGTGATATTAGGCATACAGACTTAAATGTATTAGTTTAAGTGTTAAACAGTTATTAAGTTTCTTTCTAAAAGTTGAAAACAAACAGTTGAAATTGACTTTGTTTTTTCATTTCTTTCTGAGTGTTATCAGTTTTGTGAACAAAAGGTGATAATTGGTATTGTGTTTTGGTTGAAATGCTGTATTTATCTTTATTTTAGATTACTTGATTCTAGATGATACTGGCTTAATTCTCTTTCAGATATCTTGAAATATGAATTTATGAACAGATGTTATGAGACATCCTTATCATATTCAAAATGATCAATAAAAGATATTCATCCATGATTATCATCTATTAGATTTATACAAAAAAAATTATCTCTTACAGTACCTCATATTCATGAATCTTTTTTTGTATCTTTTCAGCTGGTGAACCGTCTACCTCAGTTTTGAGTGGAGCCAGCCAATCAGTGACGTCGAAACAAGTAGCACTCAGTCAAGATCTGGTCAAATCTACAGACAGTCGAGCTGATAGTGTTAGAAGATTACGAGAGAAGCCACATTTTCACAGTGTTTTATTAGAGAGCAATAAGGAAAATGCGATCCCAAGTAGACTTTCTCCTTATAGCAGTGACAGTGACACGTCACCCCAGGACCCAACGCGGAAACCGTCATATCTAAAAATTAGTTGTGCTGTGAGCGGTTATGGTAGATATAGTCAATACACATCATATAAAAACATAGAAAAACGATCACCTTATTCTAGTAATAGTTCAGTCAAATCTGATCCCAATTCACCAGAAACTGTTGGAATGCCGTCGGCACGAATTATCGACGGGGAACGTGCTAGTGATGACTGTTTACGTGCGTGTGTAGGTCAGGGTTTACAAGGACCTACGATAAAGTGCGGGGAACATGATGTTGATAAGGGTTTGTTATTTAATGGACTGTCATACCCTACTGGAGACCGAATTAAGGTGTGTACATTTTCTTAGTATTCGGAAATTATAAACTGGAAAAAATATCACTTTAGGATTTGGGGAGAGCATTCAAGTTCTTGAGGATTCTTTCTTTGTTAAAAAAAAACTCATATTGAAGGATAATTATTTAAGTTCTTGAAGTCTAGCATCGTGTTGGCTAAAACCTCTTGATGAGGATTAGCACCATGACTGGGTTGACTGAAATGATAAGGTCCAACAAATATTGGAACCTGCAAATGTCATATTAACTTTACAAATGGCATAATAGGCAAAACTCCCTAAAATTCTAATTGATCAGGAGTAGGTTGCTATGCAGGGGATGTACGACTATGAACCAATTCTGATATAAAAACATAGTTACAAATATGACCAATGTTTCTAAAAGCTGCCATTGTCTATAAAATAAAGCTAAGATTTTGTTTTGTTTCTTTCAGGATGGTGAGTTTTTCCTCCAGTTAACACAGTCAGAAGAAGATAGATTATTAACGTTATGTTCACAAGAAGAAATTAACATGAAAACACAATCACTACCAGAAGAAGGTGGGTTGACAATAACTAAAGTTTTTATGACCATTTTTCAAAAGAGATTCCTGGCAGCATTATTAGATTCACCTGTTTTGGAAATCCTGATATAGGATGTTCAGTAGGAGAGATAGTTCAAGAAATGAACTTTATGTTAATTTATGTTAAACTTGGTATTTAAGTAGATTTTTGCTATCAACACTTTCAGTGAGAAGATCATCCCCATTTTCCCTTTCTAAACACTTGATGCCACTCTCCAGTTCTCATTATTCCTTTTTCCTCTTCTTTAGACCATATTCCTACTAGTGTTTACTATGTTATTATTATATTATTGTAAGAGAGTTTATAAATTGTTTTATTTCAGCATTAGGAAGAATACGGGCAGCAATAGGTAAAGCTAATTTATTAGTCAATAAACGATGTCAACAGTTCCGAGACTTGTGTCGAGATCATCAGGTACGTTTCTTGCTGTTATACAGTTTTAACTTCACATAAGGTGATTAGGTGCGGATTATCTGAGTATTAACCTCTGGAGTTGGATAACTATAATAGAAGAGGTAGCATCTTCGAATGATTCAAGAACATTTTCTCTATGTTGGTACAGATCAAAGTCAAAGTCTGGCATGAATAAATTGTATTTGACACTAAATCACATGGAGTTACCGTCTTCAAATAGCCCAAGAATGTGAAGAAAACTATTAAGTAAAACTAATTGCCTTGTTTTTACTCTGGTTCATTGTCTCATTCACTATTTTAATCAACCCTAAGTCTCTCTCTATATTTTGGAATCTCAAATCAACCTTTTTTGATGAGAAATGTATGACAAAGTGATAATAATTTGAAATTTTTCAGTATCCTGATCCAGAAGCTAAAACAACGAAATGGGCTGATTTACAAGGATTCTGGGATATGGTAAAGATACAAGTAGATCATGTAGATGATATGTTCGCTGAGATTGATATTATGAGAAATAACGGGTGGAAAGAAATTCCTCTACAGGTAAAATTAATATTAGAATTATTGTAATTATACTAACGAGGGTTAGAATTAGGTCCAATACACCACAGAAAAATGGTTATGGTTAACATCCAGTCCGTAGGACAAACAGATAAGAAAATTTATAATAAACATCAATTTCAATAGACAGAATATATTTTTTTAATGTAAAATTCCGCTTGTTTCCATTCTTTTCATTAGAAGTGGAGCACAGAATATTCATTTATTGATAAAAACAAAGGAAACTCAAGTAATGATCATGACTAATGATCTGTTATCATATGATTTTGTGCCTATTTTCAGTTATCAAGACGTAGTTCAGCTAGTTCTAGTCCTAAATCAGGCAGTTTGTCTCAAAATAGTACCCCCAGTCACACTCCAGGTATAGTGGGTTATTTTATTTTATACTACTTCGAAATTCCAATGCCTATTTGTAAACAAGTTTCTTGATAATGTTTTTTTGCGCGGCTGCTGTAGCACGTATATCCTAGACCTTGAGTTTGATTGACAGTCTCTGTCAGGGATATATTTCTCTTGTAAATTTAGTCTTTCATTGAGATGTTGCCTGAGAAATTTGACTTTTTATTACTTCAATGTGAAGATGTAGTCCAAGGGAGATAATTTTTGAGAATAAATGACTCAAACCACACAATTTTATGATTTTTTTTCAATTTTAGGATCAAAAAGAAAAAGTTTAAAACCCAAAGAAACTCCAGAATCATCACCGGAGCGAAGCCAAAAAGCGAAACAAGCAGCAAAAGCTCGCGATGAGGCACGTAAGAGACTTTTAGCGGAAAAACGTGCCGCAATGAAACAACAGCAGAGCGAACAGAGCCAGAATATAGAAATATTTTTAACAGAAGGAAGTGGAAAACAATGATAGTTTATTTAGAACAGACTATATTTATTAACAGTTTATTAAAATAGACTATATTTGAATACTCGCAATATCAGCTTTATAATTGGCCGTTTCTATGTTGGAGGTCAAGGGTCGCGATGCAGACATGCAAGAATATTTTAGAATGTTGGATAATGAGAGTTTGAACATAATTATAATAGACTAATATTAACCTGCTTCAGTTACAGCTTTTGTGAAAGTTAACCTTAAAGTCTCTTTTTGGTTTTACAATAGGATACCAAAATGCATTTATTCACAGATTTTAAGAAATGGCTTAATTCGAAGTCTCTTAACATAGTACACTGGCAAATAATTTGCTTGGAATGCTTTTACTGTGTTAAAAATGATTCTGAATGATCACGTGTAAGCCAATCAACAAATGTTCTGGCCAAACGTTTCAAGGTCTCCAATAGATAAACTTATCAGATGCCTGCTTACTAGATTACGACTAAAACCCAATATCAGAGTTATACTTTTCGTCATGAATACATAAATTTTAGAAAAATTTGTCCAGTTAATGGTGAAGTCTATCACCAATTTGTGTTTTTGACCTCCAGTCAGTTTCGACTGGCAAATTCTGTTAAATCACAATTGCCCTTTTCACATCATGAAACAAACAAATTTTCTCATTTACCAATGTTGATTTCAATTGTACAGTTGAACTGAAGGAAGACAAGAAATAGCTTGAAAATAATCAGCTCAAACCAACAGTTTCTCAAAATTCCATTAGTTAATATTATTTAGTTGAATGTATTGTATCTGACCCATTAAGCCTTAATTAACAATATAGACTGAGAATAACATTTTTAATTATAGGTGCTAACTAATTTCCATTTCATTTCAATTCATTATCATCATTAGATATTAATACCTTGTTAACAGATTAGACAGTGAATTTTTGGGAATTTAGAATTATTCAAAGCCTTAATGAGAAATGAATTCTGCACAAAATATTCCAAAACTAATGTATTGAAATTAAAAAATTTGTACAAATAATTCAGACGAGAGACTGGTTTCTTTAAAAAAAAAAAAACGCTTTATCGTACAATAATTGTGAAGCTTATTTCAATCAAATAATTATTTGAAATATAAATGGTTTAAACGGTGTAACGATTATCTGTATTTTGAAGCCTCTTGTCAATAAGTACCCAATTATCTCCTAAATTCACCAGCTATTACAAGGTTTAAACACTCTCATCTCAATTCATCAGTCCAATATTTTCAATCATTATTTATATGTAGTATTTATATTGAGTATGTTGTATATAAACAGTTTGTTTTCAATTTTAAACTTCAATTATAACTTTACTTCAGCATATATTCATTTCAACTGGGATGCAAATTTTATTCTTTAAACACGATTAAAACTTCATTTTCCTTATACAAGCTTCAGCATCATTTGAACTAACTCATAAAATTTTGACCAGTCTTTAACATGTATCAAGTAGCTATGCTATTTCAAAATACTTCCTTTCACATTGTTTCCAATCTTGCTTAAGATCCCTTCTGTTAAATTGATTGCTCAATTTTTTTAGGCTTTCATGATTAATTTCTTGGCTTAAAAATTCTGTTGCAATGTTCACGTTGTTTGAAAACTTCAGTTCTTGGTTACAGTTGCCACGCAATTTCTTATCTTGCCAACTCTATAATTAATTACTGTCTCTATTCCTAATTTTATAATTATTAATTAATAATAAATTAGAAGGATTTGCATCCCAACTATGATATTAATTAACCAAAAGATATTTTAAGTGCAATTAAAAATCATGTCATCCCACTTCCTACATTTCCTTGCCCAAATTTCGCCATCTTTCGCTGAAATAGTATTTATACAACTTTGTTTGTCTTGGTCAGACATACTGTCAGCTGAAGGTCTTGTTAGTGCTGCCGTAAGAGTAACGCTCATAAGGTTGCAAGTAGACTTTGTCAGTATTAAATTCAGCATTCAAAATGGCTGGTAACTACAACTATTTATGTTAGTATATGAAAGCCATAACCAAATGATTACAAAAGCCCTGGTCGTGGCATCGCAATTGTCCTTACCTTGAAGAATTTGAACCCATTGCACCTTGTCACCAAGTCAATGGCATTACAGTTTAATACTGACTGAGCTAGTAACTGTTTCCTTTGATTTTGAGCTTCCTGGGACGTACAAAGACACCTGCTCCACATTTGGAATGGGATTTCTCATCATGTTGTTTAAACCAAGCAGTGAATAATAATCACTAAGTAATGCTCTTAGTTTATATTCAATTTATTCCGTGTTATGACCACCAACAGAGTTGTATAAATATATGTTTTAAATCTTACAATTGTTACATTACTTATTTTAACATAGCAAGGTTTAGTTTCTACTTCATTTATTAGTTTGGTAGTGGAATATATCATTTATTTATATCTAACATAGTAACTTCTAATTTATAGTACAAATACAATCGAAAGTTCCAATCTATCTAGCACTGTTTATAGATCTATCTTAAAGATACAGGAGACAAGGTGGCATCACCTCTTAGGCTATTGACCTTAGGGGTCAATTCCATCTTAGCTCTTAGTAGTAACTGCAGATTTTCAATAAGGTTCACCATCGCTGAGGCAGATCTCAAGGGTTAATAATAAAGAGCACCAGTAATACCACTGATATTATTCCATTAGTTTAAAATGTGAATTTGGATCTGATAAAACTATGGAATCATGAATTGCTCTCATTGCACACCGCAAAGTATTTTATAGAGACTGAGAAATGTTGGACGTAGGACTTGATAGATTGGAACTCATGTTTTTATTTGATAATCTAATTAATATATAGCTATAGAACTGTCAGTATTTTAAGTTGAATTCTAACCTATAGCATGATATATAAGTATTGTATACAACAATGAAGATTTCAGCAAGGTAAAATAGGAGGGATGATATAGATAACATATAGTAGAATACACGGGGATTGAACAGTTTTGAGTCTTGACAGTGGATATATGGGTACAGTACTTGGTATTGCTACTTATTTCCTTATGGGTACACTCATTGTTATTGCAATATGGTTATATTCCAAACTCACCTGTTTAAGTGGGACACAGATAGTTTTGCACATGCAGGAGCTATTTTAAGAATACACATGAAGAGTCCACTTTATTAAAAGGTAGTTTAAGACTATTTATTCTACCAAAAGATGAATTAGGCTACTTGTGTTTTTGAAAGATTCCATATATGTAACTATTTTTGTCATTTTTGTCAAACCAGAAGGCAATGGACCCAAGACAATGACTGAAGCTATCTGGAATCCAATTAGTATCCAATATCAATCCAAAGACTCAAAACTTTTCAGTCACTCTTTGTAAAAGTAGATCTGTCAATTGTTGTTATTTTTGTATCAATTTATCAAATAAGCCCAATGATTTGATATAAAGAGCATTTAGGTGAAGTTAATCATATCATTGGAAGGATTGGATAAATATTATTAAAGAATAACAATAAGTGTCAGACTCTGTTCATATATAATAACTGGAAGGAGAAAGTTAAGATATGTTAAGTGTGAAAAAAATTTGTTTTGAAAGATATATAATATAAAATTTGATATTACAGAATGGAAGACATTGCTATAGAGCCTATTGAAGACATTGGAATAGAAAGAACTTGAAAAGGAAAAACAAACTTGAAAATATTCTTGCCAACCCCCTGTGAAGGAAATTTGGTTGAATTCTAAAAGCCTTCTTTGGGGGAAATATGAAATTTATTCTGTGGCCACAAGGAAATTAAAATATATTTTTACAAAGAAGGCTAGAAATTAGATATATAATTGATAATGTTACAGGGGGTATTGTAATGTATTAAATTACCAAAAAGCCTCTGATATTCGATAAATATTTATTTATCATGCTAAATTTACTTTGGCTTTCGCTTTGCCTTAATTTAATGCTTTTTGTCTTTTAACCAAAAGCTTATACATTATATTTTCATTATATAAGCTTACTACTTGTATTATTCTTCTCAATTCAAGATGTCTGTTTGGACAACTTTTCCTGACAAAATTCCTAATATGAAGGTATATTTCTTCTAACAGTTCATATGATTTGTCTGAAATAGTTGCTATTATATGAATTAATATACACAACACAATCTTAAGGATTTATGTGAAAAATGACACATTAATTGTAAATCTGAAATTTAATGCATATATTTACCAAAATGGCATTGATAGTCTATCAACTTTATATCTTTATATTGTATATAAAAAGCTTTTTTGCTATATTTATGTATTTTAAGGTATTGTTATTTCTTAACTATGGAAAACATATTCAAAGATTATATTTGAATATCTGTCAGCGCTCTGATTGGCTAATGATATTATAACAGCCAATCAAATAAGAGTATTAGTCTTGCTAAAGATGATTTGATACTTTGAATGCAGCTGTTTCATGAAACGAAAAAATTACAGCATTTATTTTCTTTTTTAGATAAATTTAATTCTGTAGTCTTCCAATGAGATAAAATTTCATTTTGTACATCTTGAGTCAAATGGCAAATATTGAAATCATTTTACAGCTTTAAGGGCACATATTATTTCCATTAGGCCATTAGTTTTTTATACTGCGTATATTAAGCAATTCATTTCCATGGAACATCATCAAATAAGGCCCCAATTTTTTGTGTGCCTTAATTTTTGGAATACTGGCCTTCCATTACAGGAGTACAAAATATCTTAAAATATTTTTAGAAAATGGCGGAAAACAAAGCTAAGGCCTTTATATTTCTATGAAATTTAGAGAAATGTGTATATTTCTGGATTTTGTACATTGCATGCTACTTAGAGCACATATTTTTTCAATTCGTCGTATTTGATACTTCAGTGTTTTTCATAAAGTTTCGTATTGTTTTAGTATTCTAGTTGAGTGAGATACTGCACAGTTTATATTTGAAATTGGTTTCTGTCTAGACTATCATTATTATTGGAAATGTTTTTCTTGAAATTTTACAGAAGCGACTTAAAAATATACAGAATTGAGCAAATATGAAAAATAGCGCTAAACTCTTCGTATTTTAGACCGAATTTTATGATGTACTTAGTTCTACATGACTGAAAATTCCCTTCCATATTTGAAGACTTATTTGTGACACGTTTAAGAGACATGATCTTGTAGATTGAAAATGGGAAGCATGTGGACTTATATTTATGGGACATCCATATGTTATTCAACTCAATTTTTGAGTTTTGGGACAGTTTTAAAAATTTGAATTTCTGTTGAAAATGTGAAAATTAGACCAGATTAAGACTGTTCATTTCATGAAATTCACAAGAATTCATGATCTGATTTTATTTTAACCTCCCTTCATCTATTCAACATTATTTGTCCTCAACTCTAGCTTATTATTTGTAAATAGACTTTGTAAATTCACTCAAATTTGATAGTCATATTGTAAAATAGATTTCAAATCAAAAATTTGTAAATAACTCGCCTGAGTCAAGACAGGCCATATAAGCTTTCACAGGCCATGTGAGCTTACACTAGCCAATATGAGCTTAATAAGTGAGTTTAGACAAACTCTGGCTTAAACCTTCCCTGATAACAGTAAACTGTTACTATAGGAAGGTATCCCCCACTCCCTCTCTTGTCTAAGCTTTTTAAGTAAGTGTAATTTGAGGGCTTTGATGACTGTATAATAGCTCTTTTTAACTATTTATGTGAGTGCTTGTGATGCTCCAGACACATTTGTGGTTAAATTTGCCATCCAACACAAAACGTGGGCAATTTAATAATAAAACAGATGGATGTTTACAGGAAATACCCATCTCATTAGAGACCTATATCACTCCAAAATTTAGGCAGATCACTGAATTTGCAGTCTCCTTATTGAATTGCTAGCATTTGGAGAACCATCATAATTATGCTGCTATGATGTTCAGTAGAAATCTTGATGTGGAAACACCACAATGTGTCTGTAGCATGACTAAGTATATAATTATATTGTAGATATATAATTCAACTTGTATTTTTGTTTTATTGTAAATTATAGTAGGTTATGGTTGTTATTAAAAGTGCTTTCATCAGTGATTTACTGTGTTTTTTGTCTCAAAAAAAAACTGCAGGGTCAGGGTTCATATTTCTAAATGATATCCTTAGCTAGTGGCATTTCTATGAATCATTAGGTAGAGGTCCGAAATCGTGGCCAGAGAATGGTCACGGGCTCATAGCATCTTGCATATGAGAACTATGTGATACATAGCAAGTAGGTCAACCTCAGGGGGGTTTGTTGCCATCATAAATATCTAGGCTTCTTGACCAGTTGTCAAACTTTCATATCATTTGTCCTAATGATTGTAAATTCAAAAAATTTCAACAGCATAACATGGACTGGTGTCGATTTCAGTCGTTCATTGACGGGTCATCATGGATGATTAAGGATAATATCTGGAAGCCATCTTGGATGGTACATGAGTTATGCCAACAAAATTAAAGCCAGAGGGTGTACCAAAAAAATACCAGTAAACCAAACTAGGTGCAACATTAACAAACCATGTATGCATTAAGCAACAAAATACAAAACTGAAGTTACAAGCTAATTTATTCACAGAGAAAAAACAAACATTTTATCAACATGAAAGGTATAAATTTTGACTTAAAATATTGTTTTAGCACTAAAATTATTTCTATTATTGTACATTATTTTTCACAATTAAATTACAATTATTCTACAATTTATTATTAATCATTGTCAAATCAAATTTAATCATTCTACTCTTTATTCATTACAAACTTCTTATAATTTACATTATAATTAAGACACTCAAAGTATGTATATTTTTTTTTAAAAATTAGTTTAACCTTTGAGAATTCGGCTATATATTCTGAAAAAAATAATTTAGTCCGAGATATATGCTCATGAATTTCCAGCCAAAAAAATAAATAAAAATCTGTCATTTGATGCTTCAAAATAAAAAATATATTTGTCTATCTACTGTACAAAAATATGAAAATCAAGATTAAAATAAGATGGTCAAACAATATTTATGTAAATGGTAAAAATTTGTGAGAAAATGAAGTTAAGATAAAAACCTGATTGAATTTGAGGTAAAACAATGGATGATTGAATGGTATTTTAACATGTTATGGAAATGACAGACATGTGAGAACGAAATTTTCTAATTTAGGTCTAAAAGAAACGTAATGTGTCTTCAACAACTATCAGGAAATTCCAAGGCTGACGCGAAAAAATCTCGGAATGAATTTGTATTGAAACAAAACTGTGTTGCTTTATCAGGAGGCTTTTTCTTCAAATTTAATATAGCCTGCTGAAGTTACCACAAACTGTAAAATGCTAGCAGCAGCACTGCCCTATTTGCACAGAATTCAAATGAGCAAAATACTAAAAAAAAAAAGGTATATGGCAGATAGATTAGATAGAGATACGAATGATATTAATATTATTGAGATAGATATTAATTTGATAAAAACATATCAGAGGTATGTAAATTGATATATACATAAAATTCTCAAATATAATCACGTTTGTTGCAATTCTCAATTAATTTCAAGCCAAAATTGATGTATCAGAACGTCTATTTTGAAAATATCTGAACATAATGGCACAAATTATGAAGCTATACTTCAGAAATTAATCCATATCTTTAACTTAAAGAATAACTTGTTATCTAATCCAAAAAAGATTTTATCAATTTGCTTTTAAGCGCATGTCAGCAAAACCCAAGGACATTTAAAAGTCATAGTCATTGAGTGTAAAATTCTAATAGGCCTGACACCATTACAGGACTTCTTGCGTTTAAAATTTCTAAGCATGCAGTGCACAATCTGCTTAAATTTTAGTACCTTGCACTCTTAATGCATTAGAATCAGGCATTTTGGATCTAAAAATTCAGAAATGAATTAAGTACGCCCTGCCTCATACCCTGGATAAAGAGCACTTAAAGCCTTTGACAAATTTTCATTGACCTTCATTGAATACTTCTCCCCAAGGTCATGGCGACATGCCGGGCACGAATACACTTGAGCTTTAAATGACCTAGATAAACAAAGCTTGCAAACGTTATGCGAACAGTCTAATGTTACAGGTTTAAAAACTATCTCCTGACAACAAATACATGTAAAAACATCCTCAACTTTCTGTAGGAATTTCGGTTTCCCATCTCCCATGGATGGAAATGTTTCTTCCCATAATTTCTTATTCTGCTCATCTTCATCCACAAATTTCTTAACATCTTTAGGCAACTTGTATGCCTCAGCCTGAACCTTTTTGGTTTTCTTTGGAGATTTTTCTGGAGAATCTTCTACGTCAGATCTTTTTCTTTTCTTGCCTTTTTCACTCTTCTCTTCCTTTTCTCTTTCCTTTTCTTTGAGAGTTTCCAAGTAGCCTTCAGGATATTTTATTTCCAAACCCAAACTTTTGATTTTCTTCTTGCCCTCTTTGGTCCACGGCGCTGGATTTTCATCATCTCGTTTCAAAAGATATCTCCAAACAATGAAGCCAGATTTGCCCTTCTCAGGCCAGTATTTCACCATTTTGTAAATTCCATCATAACGATTGCCTTCTTCTGGAGCATATTTGGAATGTTTACGACCCTTGCAATTTCGAACTACACGAACCGGTTTACCCCCTTTCCAGTCTTTTGCTTCGGCACCATCCTTTGCATTGATTGGAGCATTACAGTTTTTAGCCAAAGCTTTATTCATTCGAGTCAAGAGCTGGTCACATGATTGTTCAGCTGTGCGTTTATTTCCAGATAAATCGCGACCACCGCTTCCAGTGTAGGTGAATTTATCTCCATCATCATGGTCGTCTTCGTAACCTCCCGACAGAACAATTGAATAGGCACCTTCGTCCTCTCTGCCATGGATTCCTGCAACATGAGGTCTGTGAACACCAGCTTCACTGACTTGTACTCTAAATTTCCAAAGCATTCCAACTTCAATGCCAGGAATTGGTCCAAAATGATTTGGAGGTACAATAGTGCACATAGTTGTCCTCCCTACACAAGCCATTCCTTTACCCCAATCTCTACTAGATTTGGATGTAGCTGAAGCCATCTTTGATTTCTTTTTGCTCTGTTTCAGTCTTTCTCCTGCTCGTACCACTTCAGTTACATCATTTTTACAATCGGAGCAGTACCATTCATCTTCTTCAGGAACTTTAGTCAAGGGTGGATCCATACAGAATAAATGATATGCTTTATTGCATTCATCACATAAAATCTGTTTTTCTGGCTCTTGCTTTCCACCACAAACTGAGCATGCACATTCTTTACATTTCACACGAGGATTGTCTTTGCATTTATTACAATCGATTTTATTTTTACGCATGGTTGGCGTTGAGGTAGCATCATTGAGGTCTATGTCTTTCTCATTAATTTGACTCCCAGCCTTTTCAATTGTGAAAATTTCATTAGGAAATAGTATTTTACAGTCTTCTAATGGGGTCAAGTCTACACCAGCAAACACTGTTGCAAGAATACCCTTAGATTTATTTTCCTTTTTATCAGTAATCACACAATCGTACCAGAATCCACGTTCTGCAGGATCCTCGCAATTATAATTCGCAACGACTTTTTGACCGACTTTGAGATCATTGAATTTGATTAGATTTTTGCACCTGGGTCTAATATTATTCATTTTTAACTGTTCAGTTTCCTCATAGCCTTCATATTGAACATGGTAAACGAAACCATCATTTTCTTCCTCATTTTGCTCGCCATCTTTTTCTGCTGGCGATTTGTCTTTGGAGACTTTTGTTATTTTGGCTTCAAACCATGCACCGTTGGAAATGTCTCGTGCATCAATGATGTCTCCAACTTTGAATGCACTGCCCTCAGTGTCGACTTCTTCTTCTTCAATGTCATTCTCTTCCATTTTGACCGGACTCTCAGGCTTTTGGTTTTCTTTGTCAGAAGATTCCAAATCATCAGTGTTGTTGTTGTTGGTTTCCATGATGACTGGCTTCCGCACCATAATCTGCACCAAGTCATTGAGGCCGACATCATAGTCAAACAAAGAATGCCCATCAACAAGAATTTTCCCTCGAAAAAATAACTTTTGGCAGTCAACATCAGCTTCAAATGGTTCTACAAGTTTTTCACGAAGATCTTCGACTTTGGTCAGCTTGCTCAGGCTGTCAACTCTGACCGTCTTCTTTCCATCGATGCTTCGAACTTGGATCCACATTTTGACAGCTGTCAGGCTTCCAAGATTACGAAATTCGTGCAGAAAACTTTTTGTCAACAAACTTTACATGAGGTTCTACGTAAAGTGGCGGGAAATAGGGTCACGTGACAGGAAACAATAAAAATAGCAATAAATGTGTGTAAACTGAAGATTTGGATCCCAGTAAACTTAAGGGACAAAGTCTAAAATTTGGCATTAATTACAAATTTCTAACAAAGTATTTGATGATTTGAATGTGGACTGTGTTCCTTTGCTATTATAATCTGTCCAATGGTTTATATAGGTCCATGTTTATAGATGGTTGATTTAATCAATTTTTACAGTAGCTGTTTAAGCCAGGTGTTAAAGCAACACCCCTTTGTTCCGCTTAATCCCTTTTTTACACCTTTAATCGGTAAATAAAAAGATTTAAAAGCCTATGTTTAATTACTAATTGTACTTTGATAGTTTTTATTTAGCTCTCTTTTCCATGACTTAGGATTAGACGATACCTGATAAAAAAAAAAAATAATGGTCAAAGGGAGACAACTCTTTTTAACAGAACTTTTTTTAATTTCCAATTTTGCCTAGATATCGAAGAATTATGCCACAAAACATATATTTTTTGGAATCTGAGTTCCATTTTTAAGTAACTGAAGACTATTTGAATTTTTTGCTTTCTGTTTGATTTCAGGCTATTTTTGACTAATGTGACGTCATGAAACGGAAGTAAACAAATATTTACCTCGGTGTAGTCCTTTACCCACGTGGGACAGATTCTGTGATCACACAGCAAAATGTCTCAGTATAATTTCAAGAAAATTACCGTCGTTCCGACGGCCAAGGTACTTAAAACACCAATTAACGGATAAAATACATTCCCTATAAACTATCGCCACTGAGATATTCACACAATCATTCATTCTGGCTTAGATAAAGTGAAAAATCTGACTGTCAACAAATGTCAATTTTATTCACCTCAGACTGCAAATCAATTCGTATCAATAAATTACAAAAATGTAACTTATTCAATTAAGTGCAGGCAGTACCGTGCTGCTTATTGTTTCACGTTTATAATTGAAAGAAATTAAACAAGATTGTGTGGAAGGATTCAAAGACAACAATACAAAAGTCTGATAAATCATCATGAAACTCTCAAGCCCATGTGGCTTCAAATCAATGCTTCATAGGCAGTTGTTGCCTGAAAATCTTAACAAATCTGTTTTTGGACTCTTGGAGAATATAAATACATACGATTAAGGAGAGAATGACAGATTATGCAAATCTTTTGTTTTATTCAGGAACAAACTATTCCAAACCCTAAAACTATCCCTATAACAGACTCGAAAGGCAAGGCAGCTGCACTCTATTCTAAGACATGCAATTGGCAGCCGTAAATAAAGCGAAAACGCTCTGAGTGTGAATGACATGCTTTCGCGTATCACAATTAGTATTAGTAACCACATTATCATTGTCAAATAGGAAAAATATTTTTGCTGATCTTGCTTTCATTTTGAAGACTTCAACAAGCTAAGAAAATTTAATCTACTAATGTTATAATTTTGTGTATTTCAGGACTTCATTGATATTATTTTATCAAAGACTCAGAGAAAGACACCTACAGTAGTTCACAGAGGATATAAAATATCACGTATTCGAGGATTTTACACTCGGAAAGTTAAGTTCTGTCAACAGAGTTACCATGATAAACTTACTCAAATTATTACAGACTTCCCTAAACTGGAGGTAAGCTAATTTTATAAGCTAGTCAACTTTTTTACTTTATCATTTAATGTCAAATTGAATAATTGATTTATCAAATATTCTTAAAATATGACTGTATTATTCTGCTGTAAAATGGCCAAAACTTTTATAGGCAAAATTGGCAACAATTCGATCCCATATTTGGCATTGCCAGTTTTACGTAAAAGACAAAACTTACTTTTCAACCATCATTTGTTTTACAATTACCTTTCAGGATATCCATCCCTTCTATGCCGACCTGATGAATGTACTGTATGATAAAGATCATTATAAACTGGCTTTAGGTCAGATGAATACAGCTAGACATCTTATAGATAGGTAGGTTTTTAGTTTCCCTTGTTTCACTGTCTGATTCCTTTATTGCTCTTTGATTAGTCAGACATGTTAATACAGTAAAAGGTGCAATTTATTTATCAACTATCCTGGAATTGATCTAAGCATTGTACCTAGACATTTTGTAATCCAGTTTCCCCATGTATATGATTTACTTACAAGTGTCTGACAAGGAAAAAGTAAGGTATTTCTTTGTGGTTTATGGATAGTTGGAAATTTAAACGGATCCTACAAACCTTCAAACGACACTACAAACTGTACATAACTTAAATCTGTTGATCTGAATTCATAAATTGCATTATTTTATTTTCAGTGTTGCTAAAGATTATGTAAGATTATTGAAGTATGGAGATAGTTTATATAGATGTAAACAACTCAAACGAGCTGCTCTTGGAAGGTAGAGTACATACATTCTTAAACAGAGGTCATGACTTTAATAGTAGGGGATAATGCAAAGTACATTTAACATCTCTTGCAGCCAACACCCACTAGTTTGAAATTTGGGGTTAACATGAATCTTTGGAAATTTAAAGAATGTTAAAAAAGATAAATTGGCAATGGTAAAATAGGAACAAATTAAGAACTATATCATAATTGAAAATATGCAGAGATGGACTGAGTCAGTCTGAAGGTCCAGTAGGGTCAGGGGCCCCTATGACTCAAATCAGAGTTGCTGAGTTGTGATAATGTGTTCAAAATTAAAGCTTATATAAAGGTAACTCTCATCCCACCACTGTCGTTGGAATCAACCCCCCAAAATCTGCTCTCATCTTAGTATTATAATTCAACTTGTTAAAAATTTAATTGTAGAATGTGTACTATTATGAGAAGACAGAAACAGAGTTTAGAATATTTAGAAGAAGTTAGACAACATTTATCTCGATTACCATCAATTGATCCTAATAACAGAACTCTACTGATTACTGGTTTTCCTAATGTCGGTAAATCAAGCTTTATTAATAAGGTAAGGGCTTTTGTAGTTATTCCAAGATTTTAAAGCCTCACAAGAGAGCATTTATGGTTCAGTAACAAGAGAGCATTTGTGGTTCAGTAACAAGAGAGCATTTGTGGTTCAGTAACAAGGTGGTTCAGTAGCAAGAGAGCATTTGTGGTTCAGTAGCAAGAGATCATTTGATGTTCAGTAACAAGAGAGCATTTGATGTTCAGTAACAAGAGAGCATTTGATGTTCAGTAACAAGAGAGCATTTGTGGTTCAGTAACAAGAGAGCATTTTGTGGTTCAGTAACAAGAGAGCATTTGATGTTCAGTAACAAGAGAGCATTTGTGGTTCAGTAACAAGAGATTTTGTGGTTCAGTAACAAGAGATTTTGTGGTTCAGTAACAAGAGATTTTGTGGTTCAGTAACAAGGTGGTTCAGTAACAAGAGATTTTGTGGTTCAGTAACAAGAGAGCATTGTGAGTTAACGAATGTTGGTATATTCAGTGTATTAATAAGTAGGCTTTGTAACACATATGCTGGATATGGATAATACTTTGTAGTGGCTTCACAAATTTAAAGAAATGCTACTTTTCTGTCATGTTACACATATAGAAATATGTGATCTAGTAAGATAATTATTTATTGTTATATTACAGATAACCAGAGCTGATGTAGAAGTACAACCCTACGCTTTCACAACTAAATCTTTATATGTTGGACATACAGATTATAAATATCTCAGATGGCAGGTAGGTGTACAGACATACTCGGAATGAATTTACTACCCATATTCTGAATTAAACCAATTGCACTTACACTTTGAATTTGATATGAGCAAAGAAATCACACTTTAAAACCTTTGGTATTATTGAAATGAAAATGAAATGAACCCCATTATAATCAAAATGGGCAAGACTATGCAGGGTGCATAGAGGGAATTTTGCTTGGACACAACATTTTCTCTATTTGATTTCCAACTGTCAAAAGATATTAAAAGTGCACAGCCTGTTGCACACTTTATTTCAGCGGTAAATAGTACAAGTTTATAAGATCATTCTAATGCTCTTTGACAGGTCCATTAAATCTTCTCTTATGAAAGGAAAAATGTAAAGATTTCTTTCTGTTTATTTTCAGGTAATAGACACACCAGGATTATTAGACCACTCTCTAGAAGAAAGAAATACTATTGAGATGCAGGCTATTACAGCTCTAGCTCATATTAGAGCTGCTGTCTTGTTTATAATGGATATATCAGAACAGTGTGGTCATAATCTAGAACAACAGGTAGGGAGTATTTTAAGTTGAGATGATGGAAGGGGTAGTGAACTAGGGAGAGTTGACAGGGATGTGGGGGCTGGTAGTGATGTGTGAGGAGGGTTCTAAATAGTACTAAGTTACAGCGATTGGAGAAAAGTGTGCTGGAGCCTTCATCCGCTTTTTATGGATAGATCATAATTTGTTGGTCTGTTCATGTATGTTGGATTCCCTTCATGATAAGCGGACTTGTTCTGTAAAGTATAAAATGTATAATCTATGCTACGTGTGACTTTAACATCATACATATATAGGCATTGAAATAAAAAATTTTGTGATTTTGTTATGTGTTAAGATATAACTATACTGTATATTTCAGATGTCATTATTTAAGAATATTAAACCATTATTTGCTAATAAACCATTAATAGTCGTCCTCAACAAGATAGATATTTTAACATTGGATGAACTGGAACCAGAGAAAAAAGTAAGTTTAACTTTCATAGAGTCCACATGGTCATTGGATGCTTTTATTGCTCAACAAAATTAACTATATGCTAGTGTTTTGATCGTGCCATCATCTAAGGCATTACTCAACCTGTAAGCTGTAAATGCCACTAAGTCCAAAATAAGTTCCTTTTTCAGCTCCACTGCTATGGACACTGTCCTGAATTCTAACAGCAAGGCAAATGAATTTATACACCTGCACATTGGCCAGTAATGTTAAGTGTCCTTTTTTTTAGCAAATAATTAATGTTGTTCTCTGTTTTCCAGGCACTATTTGATGAGTTTAAAGACAGTGATATCCCCTTGTTAAATATGAGTACCCTGACAGAAATGGGAGTTTCAGAAGTCAGAAATGAGGTGGGTCTTATTTCTTAGATATTACAAATATATATTCTGAGTAACCTCTGAAACCAAGCCGTTTTTACAGATTGGAAAGGTTTAGATACACATACAAGTGAAAATCTTATAAATATTAATAAATCATTTGATTACAGGCGTGTGATAGACTATTGTTACAAAGGGTAGAGAGTAAAATAAGATCTAAGAAGATACAGAGTGTAGCTCATAGATTAAGAGTTGCTATGCCTAGTAAAAGAGATGGCGTGGTGAGTAGTATTTCAGCTTTAGGTTATTGATTACTGTTACTTGTGTGGGGGACGACCCACAACATAGATAGTAAATGATATTATGAGACAGGAACAAAAACTACTTCTATTGTGCTATTTGCTGCATAAGAAAAACTTAACCATTCGTTTGTCTATGTCAATTTTCGTTCAGAATATCTTCAGATTACTGTCAAAGGATTGATTGGATTGCAGTTCACCGCTTGTTCACTCGAAGTCTTCTCTTTTTTACAGGATCGGCCAGCGTTTATACCAGAATCAGTTCTAGCTAAAAGAAAAGCCATGGAAGTTGATGCTCCTAAACGTAAATTGGTAAGTAATACCTTATATAAGAAGGAAAATATGTGAATTTATAAGTAAAGATATGCAACATACTGAACAAAAGATTGTAGTTTTGATATATATATGTAACAACTGATTACTTCAATATAAAAATAAGTGTTCCACCTTATACAAATTATCTGATCCACGAATAATTATGTTTCAGTATAAAGAAATTTCTCTCCTTTTTGATGATTTTTTTATTCTGTGTTTTAATTGTAGGAAAAGGATATAGAATTAGAAATGGGAGATGACTACAGTTTAGATTTAAGAAGTAAGTTTTCAATATTTTGCTCCGTCTGCTGATTTGATAATTTTCTGATGTTGTAAAAGCATGGAGAAGAAAGCTCCCCTGTGCTTCAGTTGGTGCAGATAAACATTTGGAAATGAGAAAATTAGAGATGAATCAGTATCCGTGGCGTTTCTATGGATGGGGCCAGGGATATATAGCACATTGCATATTATTGAAAGACTTGCTTTGATGAAGCAGCAGAGACACTGGATATATCTCATGATAATGTCTATTGAAAGGAATGTGAAATATAACTTATATTATCTATTTATAGAAACATGGGATCTAGCCAATGAAGAAGAGAAGTATGATGTAATACCAGAAGTATATAAAGGACATAACGTTGCAGATTTTATAGATCCTGACATAATGGAGGTAATTTTATTTATATTATTCTCATCCTCTATGTGAGGTGGAGTTGTGGTAAAACCATCTAGACACTTGCTAGCCTACCTGGAGGTAGATCCCTGCAAACAACAAAATTCTACCAAGATTCTCAAACTTGTATAAGTGGATATATTCATAATAAGACTTATCTAGTGTCCATCTAAGCTGAAAGAATTTCTGTATTATTTGATAACATCAATTACATTAATATACAATTCATCAGATTATTTTAATGTTGTTGATATTTTTGTGTACCAGAAATTAGAAGAGTTAGAAAAAGAAGAAGAGTTAAGAGAGAAAGCTGGTTTCTATAATAATGAGGAGAGTGAAGAAGATGAAGAGATGAAAGACCTCAGAAACACAGCCAGAAAGTAAGTGTCTTTCTTTCATTTTGTTCTGGAGCTGACTTTACTGTGTTTCCAGTGTCTATTTCATTTTTCTCACAGTGGTATTCACTATCCAATTAGAATAAGAGCTTGTATTGTACCAAGACTAACAGTATTTGTAGGTCTGAATGCATTGTCTAATTATCTGGCCTTGATTTTGGTAGTAAAACATCGTAAGGGCCTTAAAAGAACAGCATTAACTGGGTTTTAGTGTGGACAGTTTTGAGCAATAACAGATCTGAATTAACAAGAAAAATCCTGCATGGCCTAAACACAGTAGAGTGCTGGATTGTCTTTTAATTACATTAGATGCCATTAGATCAAAACAAGAAAATAACAAATTTTCATCCAATAGCAGGTGCTCAAGAGATGGCTGCATTTTTACTCCCATATCTCATATAAAAAACAAGTCTTTATTTTCTAATGTTACGTCTACTTCTAAATGTCATTAAAAGATCAATATTTAATGTATATTCCAGGATTCGAAAAAAGAGAATATTGAAAACAATGGAATCCAGAGAGAAAAAAGGAATTAAAACCAAATTTCCGAGAACTGGAAAGAAAGTTGATAAATCTGATATTGAAAATACAATGGCTGAACTTGGTATAGATATACAGAATAAGTCTCAGGTAATAAGCATTATATCTTTATGTGCTCATGGTTTATAATGATAAGTTCGCCTGTCATTCGACAGTTTTCATTAGTTATCTACGAAACTATAAAATGAAACTGTAAAATGTGTAGGAAAGAATGATAATCTAAACTGATGAAAATTCAAATTTTTGAATCAATGAAAGCTACTGGAAGGTAGAAACTCCTTCAGCTTCAGAAATAAAGCCAGTGAACTTATTCCATACGCCCAATAAACTAGATAACAGCAGGATTTAAAACTACATTTCAATAATCCAATAAGGTATAGAGAAGTTACACACGAAAAATAATTCGGTATACCCAATGATCTTCAGAAAAAAGGATAAATATCTACCTTTCTTTACATCCAATAAACTTTAACACAGCTTAAAGAAACATTTAATTCATTTTCAGACTCATTATGCCACCCAGAATAATGAGAGATCACGTAGTGTGAGTAGAAGAGCAGTAAAAAGAAAACGAGAACAGTCAGAAGCTGGTGAAGGTGGTTCTAGAAGTGCTAGTCGTAAACGTCAGAAATCGGCTCACAGAACATTGTCTATTACTCCTAGAGATAAATCAGGGGTCAGGGATGAAAAGGTCAGTCTAATTGGTCATGAAATATAAATTATTATCCATGAAGCTTTTAAATATGAAAGAGTTTTATGCATGGGATAGTGTTGAAAAACAAATTTCTATCTGGATATTCAATATTTCATTTAATAGTTGTGAAAACTTACATTGTCTGGCAAGAATTGACACTATCTGAATGAACTGAGATATTGAAACCTTCATGATATAGACGTTTCAGATAGGACCTTTTTAATATTGTTATTTTCATGTCTTTTTCAGATGGCAAAGAAAGCCAAGAAATTGGCCAAGGCTGCAGTTGCCCCAATGCATAGACAGGGTAGATTTGAAACTAACAGAGTTATTTCTGCTAAACGACCCAAACATTTGTTTGCTGGTAAACGTAAGATGAAGGCTGATAGAAGATAAATACCGAATGATGAAATAAGGAAATGAGTTATGACTTGGGATGGGTGATAAACTGGTATCGCAATATATAAACAGTAGTGTCCCAACAAAGGTGGTGCTTAATTTATATAGAAATGGACAAAATCAAATTAACAGTACTTGCAAAAAAATTGAACACTGATAGAATATGGTTGTTTTTGTTATCCATTCAAGTGAAGTACCACAGGATATAAAGCATTAAGATTCTGACATGATTATATTGAAATTAATAATCTTTCTTTATTCTTTGTTTTATCTAAATAATAGAAAAAAAATATTGATATAAAATTAAGTTAAGAAATAATGTTCTGTGAATACTGAAAATTTGAAACCTTAACATAAATGACATAAAGAATGGAAATTTTAATACGCTTGATTCTGATACTGTGGGTATGGCATATATTTTAATGCTAGTTTGGGCTGGATATCGACTTTTTTTTTTAGTCCTTTTTCTTGGTATTGCCCACAATCAATCATTTAAAATTAATCAGTTTTTTTCTTGTTTTTGTTAATTATATACTTGGTTTTAAAACAATTGTCCTTGATATATACTTTTACAATATTTATTACTCTCTTATTCTCGAAGTTTATATCCAGGATAATGCCACTGAAGGATTATATATACACACAGTCTCTTCAACGGAGTCTAATTTCTCAATGTCATGTAGATACAAATTGTAAGTGTGAAAAATATCACAAGAAAAAAGATATATTATAAAGGGTTGGGGAACAAGGCAAGGTTTTAATGAAATCTGTAAAGTGAAATGTCTTTCTCTCGGTCAATCAATAAAATGAATTGAAGTCAAAATATTGTAGTTATTTTATGTCATCTGGGCCCTGGTTACGAACTTTCTTCCTGAACGCATTTCGGACGCAAACCTGACTCCGCCATTACCTTTGATTTGAAGACTGAATTGGTTACCAGGTGATAGTTTATAGTATACTGCATACCAAGACGTTTCTTATGTCGAGGTTATGTACGAAGTCAATAAATCTATCCAGATTGTCGGTGACAGCTTTGAATAGTTTTATTAACTGCAACATTGGCTTGTAATACAGTATTTTTTATTTCGAATTTATCTTTTAAAAGATAATAGTGCGCACCCTACCTCCCCCCTCCCTGTTTATTGTCCCGACAAGGGTCTCTAAAAGGGGATACCAGGTAACACTCCCGGAATAGTTGTCCACCTACACAAGAGAACTCCCTAAAGTACCTTTAATTCCAGATGGTGACATTATTTAAATTAGCATTTCCAATAAATCGATTAGATCGATATTTTATGAATTTCTACACATTATTCAGTGTCAAAACCGATCAGGTACTATGCATATGAATCTTGAAGTGAACTTTTATCATTGCATTCTTTTGCCAAAAGTATTAAAAGTATATGGACGCACCATAGGATTTGTGTAGGACTCTTAACTTTGTACAAGCCATGGTGCTCTCTCTTCAGAAAATAAAGATATACGTAGCAGTAATCTTGTTCTGTTATTTGTGCTACTTCATACAACATTTCATTCTCTCAACAGGTAAGTTATGTTTGCTTATTACATGTGTAATGTTTTTTTTTAAATTGGTGTTCGCTTGGAAAATATCAATACAGCTTATAATAGTCTAGTGGGATTTCAGAGAAATGACCATCTGAGGGGCATTTTGCGGCAAAAGTCGGGAACCTGAATATTATCAACCCTAGTTCCGTATTGCCATGAAAATAATAACTTGATTGATGAATTTTCAGTAGATGGAATGATGGGCAATATGCACGTGCATTTTACAGATAGTGTGCCTTGGAAAGAATTGTTTACTTGATGAAGTGTTATTGTCGATTATTTGTAGATGGAATAATGCGAAATATGCACGTGCATTTTAACGACTAGGTCAATACTGCGATGAAATTAATAGCTTCATTGAGAAACTTTTGATAACGATTATCTTTGGATGGAATTATGAGCAATATGCACGTGCATTTGAAAACTGGGTCAGCATTGTTATTTTTTTTCTAGGAAATATGAATTGTATGGTTGGTGAACGCGAGTCCAAGAGAGCAGTTTTACTGAAGGATGAGTCGCTTGAACCGTTTTATCGGCACATTATAGATCAGAGGAAAATTAGACAACGGAAGAAGACCGGTGAGTAGCATTTTATTGTGTCTGCTTTATCAGTAAAGGTAATGAATGAGGTGACATATTATCTCTTCAAGACATCCGAAACTAGTACGTATCGGTATCGTGTTTCCCATATAGATATAGAGTAGGTGAACTAAGTTGACGAGCAGCTACAGGAATTGCGGATGAGTCAGGATTACCTTGCAACGTGCCTATGATAGACAGTCTCTGACGTTTTTGAAGCTTCATTTCTTTACTTGCTTACACCTTAAAAACTCCCTAAGACACTCGTAGTTGTCAATACCATAGAGACTCTTTCCAATATATTTTTTTTGCACAACTAGAAAAACTGTTAAAATCTTTCAGGTGATTTTAAAATGGAGCCATACCGAGATCCAAGATGGCGGAGTAGGAAACCAGAGCTTCAAATATTATTGGTATCTTATATAAACGCTGGAAGTACGTACCTTGGTAATATTCTCAGACAAAATACCAGGATATTCTACGTCTACCACCCTGTTGTTGTTCTACTGGATTATATAGAGGAATACCGTGGTGAACGAATGTATCTTTACAAGAAACCTGGGTAAGAACCTTTTTCCATTTCAGAAATAGTGAAATTAAGGTGGTATTATGATTTTATCATAAAATTTTGAAATATCTAAATATAATTGTCTAAAACTTCAGTTAAACGGAATGTTATATGAAAAAAAGTTCGAGGAGAGACGCATTTTTGGACAGATCATCTAAGCTGGCACATAATCCATCTTTAAATCTTAGAACCCCACAGTCTTGATAAACGGCATAAAAGTACCAAATTTGTAGATGAATTTAGGTTATAGTCGTCTAAATGTGTGACATTCCAGCTAACTTCTGCTAATACGACTTTAACCCATACATGTAAATCAACATCACTTATATTTCAGAGGACTGCGCAGGAAGGATTTAAGGGAGCACAGAGTAAAAAATTCAACAACAGAAAGCAACGTAACAATGAAACAACTTTCAAAAGATCTGATAAATGACTTTTTGGATTGTAACTTTACTGCATTAGATATCGCCAGCCTTACAAATTTACCATACTATCACAATGCGCAGACTCGGAACTTTTCTAACTGCATCCTTGATGGCAGCTTAGTGATTTACATCAAGTGTTTGAAACTGTTGTATGAAGCTTGTAACAATACGGATGTGACGTTAGTGAATTCTGTGCAACTTCCGGTTAAAACTGCTATGTCATTGCTGATCCAGAAGCCTGAGTTGAAGCTTATTTATCTGTATCGCGATCCAAGAGCGACTTTATGGACCCAGTTCAATAATGGCGTTTATAAATGGGCTACTTTGAAAAGGAAGGCGAAATTGTTTTGTAGCTCGTTGCTCAAAGATCTTATGACAGCACAAAATATTACAAAGATGTTCCCAAACCGTTTTGTATCAATAAAATATGAAGATTTGGTTCGTGATACTAAAGATACGTTTAGATCCATGTATCAGATCCTAGGGTTGGGGGAGCTGCCCAAAGACGTGGAAGATTACATCACTTCCGGTAAGAGGATTGTGGGATGTTCAGATTGTGTGGAGTCAGACCATAATGCCTGGAGGTTGGGCATGCCTTATGAAGGTGCAGGAATAATAGACATGAATTGTGCACGTGTTTATAAGAAACTAGGTTATGAACTAATAACAGGTCAGGAACATCTGAGGAAAGTGAATCAGACTCTAGAATTCCAATCCAATTTTCTGTGAAACAAACACATTAAGATTTGTGAATTTTCTGTGTCGGAATTGTTGTAATTTAGAGTTATAAAAATTAAAACAGAACTTAAAATACATATTGTTACTCAGAGTTTCACGCTTTGCGATCTTCAGAAAACTGGCCTGTATAATTAAGTAGAACTTATTCTCATGTCTAGTCTTAGAGACGATCTTGGACGAATTTAGAGTTATGCATTTTGATGTTAAAGATGCCGTTTGGTATATAGGAGTAATGGATTTATATAGAGGTGTGAATTTGTTCAACTTGAAGCAGGGTTTTGATTAGAGTTACAGATTTGAGATATTTTGTTTCATTGTTATTCATCTCTTATTCCCTAAATTGAATCTGTAATTTCAAAGAGATATAGGTATAGTTGGCTTTCTGTATTTAATGTAGATGGACATCATGTCCAAACCACACCCCATTCGTCATACTTTCTCTTTAATAAGACCATGACAAAATCATATATTCGTTATACGATGGTAGATAGAGTGCAATTTCCACTTATATCATCATATTTTCAAAATTAAAATCTAGCACACGCTTGACCCTTCATTCTACAAAAACAACAGTGGCATTCGTCTCTCTCGGGTTGCTATTTGCATTCTCAAATGTAGGATCTATAATAGTATGTTCCATGTATCACTGCATGTAATTGACATTTAAACGACTATATTTCTTCAACTGTGACATTGATCATTCTGATCAGTAAAGAGTATAATATTATTCTAAATTGATTTTATTTGTTATTTACAACTGAATATATTTACATAATCGATAACCGATACAAAAATCAATCAACTAATAAACAGGTAACTATTATAGTCTGAAAGGGCGCTCGCATGGGGTTCGAACCCCATTCAGGCAATTCATTAAACAGAGAAATGACGAAATGATGGCTATTTATTGGCAATGATTACTAAACCTGGCAGTACAATTAGAACCTAAAGCTGATCTAAATGACAACGATTTGAATCAACTTGAAATATCCATTTATAATGACTTTAAAGGGACAGGTTTAAGTGGAGTGATTTGGGTTTTGAATATATGTAACTAATCTTCAGAAGTACCAGAAATGTACAAACAATCGCACAATTTCTTCAAAAATACTTCAAACTAGGAATTTCACTTTTCTTTTATTATATGACAGTCTCAAGAAAACGTTCAAACGCTGTCATATTCTGGACACACATGGATTTTCAAAGCTGAAATTTCGACGGTGAGCTCTGAACACTATATCTGAATAGCTAAGCTAAAAAAAAGTTCCCGTTTCTAAGACTAAGGTCCGATTAGTCAAACGGATGTCGAACGTATCCCTTTTAAACATTAAATATCGTTCTTTTGATAGGTCACAATGTGGTCCAAATTATAAATAAATACAGAGTTTCAAACTTTTAACAATCGGAAAATCAAAGTCACTGAATCTTAAAATATCAATTTTTCATTAACAAAAAAGTAATCATTTGAAACTGGATTCCATATTTGGTCTATTCCCATAGCTGTCATTGAAGGGACTTAATCGAGTGTATCAAGCTGTTTTAATTATTAAATTTTCCAATATTATTAGCTAAAAGGTTAATTAGTTATAGTGTTCTCATATCCAGTGGCGGTGCCAGTCTCTTGAGACTGTGGGGGAGGGGGGGGGGGGGGGTTATAAATAGGGAGCGGACTGCCTCAATGAAAGGACTGTGTAGGCTAAATTCAACATGCGGCAACACTGTGGAGGCTTCGTAATCGAAAGTCTCTCATAGAGTGTGTAAGAAGGTTCTCATGAGTAAATTTTCGAAAACTGAATTGATTTGGTGCATTCTGACACACGTCAGAATCACATTTTCAAATTTGTTAAAAATAAAGTTGGTGTCCCAACAACTTTTCTAGGAGACAAAGGCCCTCTCCCCCACCACCTGTACCCCCGTTGGCGCCGCCACTACTTTCGAGTTTCAAGTTTTGTTTTCATAAAGTGTCTTCTAAAGGCATATTGTTTCTTATAAAGTTAATTGGATAATCAACAATTAAAAGAATCGGAAAGAAGTTTTTTTCGGTTACTGTGTTTATATCGGGGATGCGTATATCGTCTGAATTGTTTCAAGGTCCCCGTTACTCCTGTACTATCGTAAACTATTTCTACAGTGTTATTAAGATGCGAGTGTCCCCGATACTTTCCAATCCTTTTAAATAAGTCGAGAGTAGCTAAATCTTAGTTCTTACAAATGTTCGAGTTGAAATATTAGGGGACTAGATACCTTTAAATGAAGCATTAAGTTAACTCTTTGAGCACAGAGAATTATTCCCCTTTAATAGCTCCCAAGGGAGATAACTAATGGACATTATGAAAGATGAAATATGATTACATTAACAAAATGGAGGCTAATATTAATAACCAATCTTTGGCTTCAGATATATTTTTGGTTTTAAAATCTCTTCATGATTTAGGTTTGTAATAAGCTATACATTTATGTATATTTTAACAAATGGATGAGTTTCCCTTTTAAGATAAATAGGCCTATTGTTACGCTAAAAATCGCAATAGTGGTGTGGTTACTAATCATAAGATTAAGGGACGAGTAGGTTGAATTGTCAAGGAGGACTCACAGGCCGTTCCTTGCTTATGTTAAATGATAACAAAAAAAATTCAAAGTACTTGACAGTTCGTAGTTACATAGTCCGTCTTATACTTCCTCAAATGGTGAGATATTTCAATAGATTGTCTCATATTTCCTCAAATGGTGACATATTTTCTTAGATTGTCTCATATTTCCTCAAATTGTGACATATTTTCTTAGATTGTCTCATATTTCCCCAAATGGTGAGATATTTCAATAGAGTGTCTCATATTTCCTCAAATGGTGACATATTTCAATAGATTGTCTCAATTTTTAAAAATGGTGACATATTTTCTTAGATTGTCTCATATTTCCCCAAATGGTGACATATTTCAATAGACTGTCTCATATTTCCTCAAATGGTGACATATTTCAATAGACTGTCTCATATTTCCTCAAATGGTGAGATATTTCAATAGATTGTCTCATATTTCCTCAAATGGTGACATATTTCAATAGATTGTCTCATACTTCCTCAAATGGTGACATATTTCAATAGATTGTCTCATATTTCCTCAAATGGTGACATATTTCAATAGATTGTCTCATACTTCCTCAAATGGTGACATATTTCCTTAGATTGTCTCATATTTACTCAAATGGTGACATATTTCCTCAAATGGTGACATGGTGAAAATATTTCCTCAAATGGTGACATAGTGACATATTTCATCAAATGGTGACATGTTTCCTCAAATGGTGACATATTTCCTTAGATTGTCTCATATTTCCTCAGATGGTGAGATATTTCCTTAGATTGTCTCATATTTCCTCAAATGGTGAGATATTTCCTTAGATTGTCTCATATTTCCTCAAATGGTGACATATTTCCTTAGATTGTCTCATATTTACTCAAATGGTGAGATATTTCCTTAGATTGTCTCATATTTCCTCAAATGGTGAGATATTTCCTTAGATTGTCTCATATTTCCCCAAATGGTGAGATATTTCAATAGAGTGTCTCATATTTCCTCAAATGGTGAGATATTTCCTTAGATTGTCTCATATTTCCTCAAATGGTGAGATATTTCCTTAGATTGTCTCATATTTCCTCAAATGGTGACATATTTCCTTAGATTGTCTCATATTTCCTCAAATGGTGACATATTTCCTTAGATTGTCTCATATTTACTCAAATGATGACATATTTCCTTAGATTGTCTCATATTTACTCAAATGATGACATATTTCAATAGATTGTCTCATATTTCCTCAAATGATGACGTATTTCAATAGATTGTCTCATATTTACTCAAATGATGACATATTTCCTTAGATTGTCTCATATTTCCTCAAATGATGACATATTTCAATAGATTGTCTCATATTTCCTCAAATTGTGAGATATTTCCTTAGATTGTCTCATATTTCCCCAAATGGTGACATATTTCCTCACATGGTGACATAGTGACATATTTCCTCAAATGGTGACATGGTGACATATTTCCTCAAATGGTGACATGGTGACATATTTCCTTAGATTGTTCATATTTCTTCAAATATTGACATATCCTTTAGTCGTGACACCTTTCCTAAGATCGTTATTCTATATAATTATTGTAACATATAATGTGGATCGTCGTAGATCGTCGTAGATCGTTACATATTCCAAAGATTGTCTCAACTTTTAATAGATTACTATAGATCTTCATATATATGTATAAATAATTCTGAAGCGCCTCATGCCTTTCCAAAATCGTTACATTTTTCTATAAGTATTCATACATTTCCATGATCTTTATAGATTTCCACACACCGCAATTGCATTCAGATTTGTCTCCACATATTTGTATAGATCGTCACCCATTTACTTCAAGCGTTATACACTCCTTTACAGATCCTCTCGTATTCGCACGAATTGTTATAAATTTTCCACAATCGTCACGCACTTCCAAAAATCGTCACACGTTTAAAAACAATTCGAAAAGTATTTCCAAAATCGTCACGTATTTCCAAAATCGTCACGCCTTTCCAAAAATAATCTCGCATCTTCAAATATCGTCAAGTATTTCCAAAATCGTCACGCATTTCCAAAATTCGTCACGCACCTTCAAATATCGTCACGCATTTCCAATTATTGTCACACATAGTTGATATATGTAGTCTATATCAACAAACTATAAATATCCATAGGGTTTAATCATTTTCATTTATATCTAATGTTTATCCGATTAATGATCCGGTCCACATTCACCCCGATTCCCGAAGAACAACAGAACAACAGAACGACCGATGATTGAGATAACAAGGGGAAGTAAGTATTTTAAAATAGAGGCACACAGTAATGGTTCTGGGTATGATTTCGAATGCGTCTGATCTCAAAGTCCAAGACACAGTTTAACTTTTAACAGCTTTGTTCGATTTGACTTTATTCTGTCCATTTCTGATACCTTCCGCCATGTTGCTGCTGATGTAATCGAACACATGACGCCAAGCTAGTTCCGTTTCCGGTGTGAAGTCTTCTTTCAATTTATGTTTTAATGCATCTCTGATTGCTGGCCACAACAACTACAACGAAAGAAGACATAAAGATTGATTAGCGGCAGAAGTAAATTGGGGTAAATTGAGGCAGCAAGCATTGAAGCTAGATTGTCCTAGATCACCCATTGCTGTCCAGAGTAGCAAGGTGAAAGACCCGGTCAAATAATCTACCAGACAACATGATATTAACCGAACACCTCCAATATGCGAAATCAAATGAGCATTGGAGATAGATGGATTTACTAACTGCCCTTATCAACAAAATAAGACTAATGCCCTGGTCATATGAGGTATGATTCAGCAAGATACAGACTACTTGATAATATCATGAAAACTTCCAATATACAAGATCAACCAATACAAATAAAGCTTTCGATTAAAAGTCTTGAAGGAATACATGTATATAGCTATGAATAGTTACACTCTGAAACCGACCAAATTGACAAGAACGACGGATACAGAATGAAGGTTACCCACCGAGATCATTTCAGGCTGTACGTTATATTGCGAATGCTTCTCTCCCATGGTCAACAGGATATTGGTTAGATAGACTGAATCATCTAGACTCTCAACGGCTGCTCCCAATCCTTGCATTACAATCATGGCGTGACTCTGAAGCTTCACCTCATCAAAGAAATAGTCAGCCGTCTCTGAGGGCAGTAACAGCTTTCTAAATAACTTCTGAAGATCTTTCTGAATTTCAAATAATCTGCAAAGTAACAACATACCAAATGAACAATTACACATGTATAAAACGTCTCGGAAAAGATACTATTGACAAATGCAATTGGCATCAGTTGGTCTGAAAGAGAACGTCCTGCTTCGCATATTGTCGGATGGTAGAAATAGCATAATATTCAGTGTGGTCAATAGTTGTAAATGTTACATTGTTTTACCAGGTTGTGCTACAAAAAGTCATTTTAAGCACATTTGAGAGGAACATTCCATGGTCTACAGATATCATGTAAATATCCGTCAATTTGTCTTGGCTGAACACAGGGAACTGGGAAAACATGAATATGAGTTTGTACAAACTGTACCTTTGAAACATATAAACACCAGTGCCCATCATATCTGTAGAGAGTATAGCCCAGGTCTTCTGTACAATATCTACTTCTCTCTGAGTTAAATATCCGGGTAGATCTTTTATACCTTTATTACGTATCGTGGCTGATATCGTACAACCCATTGTGGCTAGTTCTGAAATGATAAGAGAGACATGTCTTGAGTGGCAAACTAACATAGCATCGTCGGAAATGTGAATGTATTGTGGATGTCTAATATAGTGTTCCAGGGTGCAGCAGTTTGTCTTTGGCAACAAAAGGAGACAAAAACATAACAGACGTCTGCAACCGATGATGTGTCAAGCTTTAGAAGATTGAGCTAGCATATATGCAATATCATCTTCAGAATGTCAGGCTATTACGAACTGCCTCTGCGTCTTCATTGGACAGAAAACAACGATTTGACTGGATAGTACGCTACCGAATACAACCAGTCTGAGTCTTCGACAGAATTTCTGTAAACCATAAGCCATAATGATCAAATCGCTGCATTCCACGTTGCAAGAAAAGCGCCCAGTGAAGTCAAGGTATTAGATGCAGTTCTTAATAGCTTGACATTGTGAAGATGATGAAAGATAATTATAGAAAATAGCAGGAGAAAAGTACAGCAGACAGACAATATCTTAAAAACTTTTGCGACATATTTTCAAAATGTAGAGCAAACAAAATATAATAAGAAAGAAGACGGTCATTATTCTGACTTCCTGGCTACATTGTTTTGAAATGGAAGAATAAACATGTAAAGATCATGACAAAAGAAAGGGAAGTGGGGACTGGCGTCTGATATCTAATAACCCATTGTGACTAATTAGAGGTATGAAGATGACATAGTAAGGAGAAAATAATTATCCTCAGATTACAGAAAGAAAAAGAGATGGAATATTAATTATAAAGAGACCAAGTGGGAAAAGGAATGGTTTATGGGAGTAACCACGGATGTACGCGTTGGTTGCTTGTTGTGCACGACCTTCACTATGCGAATGGGACGGACCTGCGTACAGACCATGTCCGTCTAATGCCTGCTACCTATGAAATTTGTTGTCTGGTTTGTGGGCGGAACCACGGATGTACGAGTTGGTTACATGTTGTGCATTCCTTTCACTAAGGGCGTGGGGCTTAACTTATATAAGAGAGACTGGGCTACAGGTTGCAGCCCCCTGCACCATCAACACACATACTCATTGGCGCCGCCACTGCTGCGTACTGGAGCAGACCATGTGTTATTATGTCAAATGCTTGCTACTATAGCCTTTGAAATAATTTTGCCGAATCCAGTCTTCTGTATAAACGTATAGACGGGAGGTAAATATGTTTATATCACGTGATTAACCACCCCCTTTGATCTTTCCGGCCGAATAGATTAAACGCCCCAAGTATCTGGCTGAAATAAAGTACTATTGACCGTTCCATTTTCAGTATTTATAGTATGTAAGTACCTATAAGAGCGTGGTGTAAGTGGTTATCCATGAACAAAATTGATATAAATTTTTCACCTCGAGGTAGTTTTACATTTTTAACAAACGACCATAATTAAAACGTTAACTAACTAGTCTCTTAAAATCCTTTTCAAAAACGTCGGATATTTACGGATAGTTTAACAAAGTGCTTTTTCTACTTTTAAGATTCTCTGCCCTCGGGCTCAGCTATAGTCTGGATTGTAGAACACGTTAGTCATCATTTAAAGCAAAGTTCCTAATCGACCGTGGCTAACTCTACCGGAAGTCAATAAACTCACATTAAATAACAGAACACAAGAGCATTTTAATAGCACACTGGCTATTTGTACTGTCAAGGTGCGTGTTCTCTATGGCTACTAACAACGGTACGGATAAGAAAGAACACAATAGGCGCGATAGTTTTGGTTTTTTGGGGTTTTTTTTAAAGTGGGAAGCCAATTTGACTATCAAGAATGATATTAAGTGACTTTGTTAGGGTTAGGTAGGGATGGTCATATGTTTTTTAACGCCCATTTTTTTAACGTCGCGGTGCGAATAACCACGGCCTTTTAATAGGGAGTTGCAGTTATACTGGTTCCCCGTGGCCTCACTTTGTAAAATTGTATTATATTCATTTGAGAAAGTCAATATTATTAAATGTCCACCTTATGGTATATTTTATCGTATTCGGATTAATGCCTTTGTTTTTAGTCATTTGAATGTCCTTTCTATTCCACTCGCTTTTAATTAAGTATTGATCAACTTTCCCAGGTGAATATAGGCCCTATAAATTAAATAAGAAACCAACAGATAAGGTCGGAGTAAGACCGCTGTTTGAGAAGGATGTAGAATGTAAAGATGTGATTGTAAATAATAGAAGTGGCCTTATATATTAGCGTGTGTGTATTTAAATGGCACCGGGAAATAGAATAGAAACCACAATCCCTGTCGTAACGTTTCATACCGATGATGGAGCTGCAAACAATAAGTCGTTATAATGAGAATAGAATCCATAAGACGTTATAATGAGAATGGAATCCATAAGACGTTATAATGAGAATGGAATCCATAAGACGTTATAATGAGAATGGAATCCATAAAACGTTATAATGAGAATGGAATCCATAAGACGTTATAATGAGAATAGAATCCATAAGACGTTATAATGAGAATAGAATCCATAAGACGTTATAATGAGAATAGAATCCATAAGACGTTGTAATGAGATAGAATCCATAAGACGTTATAATGAGAATGGAATCCATAAGACGTTATAATGAGAATGGAATCCATAAGACTTTATAATGAGAATGGAATCCATAAGACGTTATAATGAGAATGGAATCCATAAGACGTTATAATGAGAATAGAATCCATAAGACGTTATAATGAGAATAGAATCTTTAAGACGTTATAATGAGAATAGAATCCTTAAGACGTTATAACGAGAATGGAATCCATAAGACGTTATAATGAGAATGGAATCCATAAGACGTTATAATGAGAATAGAATCCATAAGACGTTATAATGAGAATAGAATCTTTAAGACGTTATAATGAGAATAGAATCCATAAGACGTTATAATGAGAATGGAATCCATAAGACGTTATAATGAGAATAGAATCCATAAGACGTTATAATGAGAATAGAATCCATAAGACGTTATATCTATAAGACGTTAAAATGATAATGGAATCCATAAGACATAATAATGTTACCGTAACTGGTTATAACTTATATAAGAGACACGGGCTACAGGTTGCCGCCCATCAACACACATACTCATTGGCGCCGCCACTGCACACACCCTTACACACCACATACTAAAAAAAAAATTTATAATATATCTACCTTCAACCAGTGCTGAAGTGTTCATTTTCTTATCCATTGTTGAAGTTAAAATATTACAAAAGAAATTCCAGAGTTCTATACATATATCATCTATAATCACAATCACCACAATTCCATCTTATTAACAATTCAGAATACGTTCAGTCTCTATTCTTAGATATTCTAATTCACCGACATTCAAAGTTACCTCAAATATTTCCTAATAAATCCCAGGTCCACAATTAGCTGATAGTCTCATCAAAACCTTTCGACAATGTATTACAAACACAGCATCCTAATAATTATACTAGACTGTAAATCTATAAAGATATAGGGATATATTTTCTTTCACACAATTCAGCCAAAGTTTAATTTCCTCCAACCGCATGACCATTCAGAAGTTAAATTCTAATTGTATCCAACTATTTAACAATATCGTCCAAATAGCAGTCACAAAAACCCAGTGTCAACTATCAAGGATAATAAATACGTGTACCACAATCTCAAATACGTTCTGTATCTTACAATATATATAAGAACGCGGTAGGTAATGCTGGAATTCAAAATTGAAATCCTATATCTCGAACTATTTAACTAATTCGTCCAAATACCAGTCACAAAAAATCTCAAACTATAGTGTCCATAATCATGGATAACAAATACATGGACCACAATCTCAAACTAGCTATGTATCTTACAATATATAGAAGAAGTACATGGTAAATATTGATGGGAATCTGAATTAAAAATATTTGTAATTGACGTATATATCGAGATTGATTTCCACTAGGAAGGAAATGGTACAATATAAACCATCCTTTAACCAACTCTTATATCAAATATAATGTCATAACACACAGTATCATAATAATAATGATAGCTCTGTTCAACAGACGAGACATAAGAATGGAATCCATAAGACGTTATAATGAAAATAGAATCCATAAATAGAAGACGTTATAATAAGAGTAGAATCCAGTGGTATCTAGAGTTCTACTTATGGTACATTATAAACCATCCTTTAATCAAATAGAATGTCATAACACATAGTATCATAATAATAGCTCTGTTCAACAGACGTGACAAACCTAGTAGCAGAGCGGTATCTAGAGTTCTACTAATAGTACAATATAAACCATCCTTTAATCAATATCTTATAGTATCATAATAATAATAACTTAACGATCATGATAAACCTAGCAGCAGAGTGACACCGAGAGTTTCTCGGGCTACGACGTCAATGAACAAGACAATCGAGCTGGACACACCTTAAACATTAAAATAGCATAACTGAGTTGACAAATCCAAAAGCAGAGAGGCAATAGGTGTTCTGGAGAGGTCAAGGTCCTTAAGGAGATACTGTTAATGCCAACATATCAATATAACCTTGTCCCCCTGACATCAAGAACACGATCGTGGGGGGACAAGCACACGCCTTGTTGGCCTTAAAAAAATGTCAGAGGTTTCAAACTACAAGCTGAAATGTCTTCTCATGGCGTGTTTATTTTCGCACAATAGCTGTTGAATCACAAGAAATACTTGTGCTATGATGACATTTATAAAAGGAAACAACCAAGATGAATGTACTGTAATGACATAAATGTGGCTTCCTCCACACACATTCTTAGTCCATTGCATATACTTGCTACAAATAACAATGTTTATACAGTAAACAGTAGGATATGTGGTATTTACTGACCACATTGTTTACAGCTTGCTCGACAAGATAATGTAGGATAACACGACAGTGGCTTAACTACCATAGGGACTAGTTGAACCAAGTCTATAGGACCCACTCATTAGGGGAAACCCGACCCAGAAAAATTCAAAATTTATTAAATGATAAGAGCATAACTGA